TCTTCAACAAAATGGCATCGTTGTCGGGGATTGGTGTTGAGATATTGAAGTGCATTGTAACTGTTCTATATTTTTAAGCTTTGTATATTTGTTTATTTTGTATATATTTGTTTCTTTTTATGTTTTCTCTAGTGTGCTCAGGAATGATGAGAACTCCTTCTAGAATGGTTGTTATCTGTATAAAATCATTCAACGAAGATTCAACCGAATTTGGATGGCGATGATAGTATGGAACAAGTGAATGTTGTCAAGGTACATGGTTTCTTTTGTTAAAAATTTTAGAATTCTTAAGAACTTAAGTCTTTGTGAAAATGAAATTTGTTCTTTTAACAACTTGTTTGAATGATTGTTTCACTTAGGACCAAAATCACACTTTGTGAGAAAGCTTCCATTATTTACTAAATGCTGGATTACTAATAGGATTTGTTGATCCGTTTGATTCATGATTTATCTTGTATTATTGTGAATTTATGGAAGCAATTAGAAATGATCAAGGCACTTGTTTTTATTGAGCACAACCATTTCCAAATGCAACTTACCCATGAGCAGAGAGAATTCGTTAACCCCCTTTGAGCCTAAACAATGTGAATCTCATTCTGAATTTTGTGAGATTCTAAAATTTTTCTTGAACCCTTGAATTTTGTTTTAATTGTCCTCTTTGCCATAAAATCCAAGAGCATTCACTTGAGGGTTGAGTAAAAGTTAAGTTGGGGAGAATGAAAAAGAAAGATGGTAGGTTGCTACACCTTTTGAAAAATTCAAGCAAGCATTGAAAAAAATTGTTATGTGAATATGAATGTAAAAAAAAAGAGAAAAAGAATGCTTGCTTGGAAAAGAAAAATAGTGAAAGAATAAGTTGTGAAATAAAGTTGGGAAGGTTTTCAATTAAGAAACAAATGGAATGAATTTGAGGTGTGTAAATAACGTGTACGGTGAATGTCTCTTTTGCATCGGCAATTTCGTTTCAATGGCCTTAGAAATGTCTCTTGTTTGTGAATCCAACCAAGATACAACCTTAAAGATCTTAGTGATCTTCTTGCTTCTATATTTTCACTTTTGATTGTTATATGTTGTATGAATTGGATTGATATGAGCATTGTTTGTTAGGTGAGTGAAATTGTCCCGCGATTGCAAACATGTAATTTCTTCAATCCTTATTTGAAGAGAAGAGATAGAGTTATTCATTCATGAAAAACATAGCTTTTGATTGATGCGTGGTTTTATATGTGTTTTAAGAATTTAGTTCTTGTGCATTGTTTGATTCTCAACATTTGAAACCATTGCATGTTTGCATTCTTTGTGTTTGAGCCATTTTATCCAATCTTGGGTGAATCTTAATCTTGAGTAAATCCTCTTGTTGAAATGAGAGACATACTTTGCTTAAGGACAAGCAAAAATCTATTTGGGGAGAGTTGTTAAATGCCAAACTTTTCTTATTTGATCTATCAAATGTTGGCATGTTTCATTCTTTTTATAGGTAAAAGTGATTAGAATCACTCTTGTTTTAGATGATATGCTTCATTGTTGGAATATGCCTTGGTTGCTTTGATTTGTGTGTTATTGTGCAGGAATTAGGCACAAAACAAGTGAATAGTAAGACACAAGAAATTAGGCAAAGAAACCAAGACAGCAGAAAAACATCATAAAACTCGCCGTGCGAGGCTCCTAACGAAGCTTGCTAGGAAACTTCACAAATTTCACTAGGAGAACTATGTAGCGAAGTCCAGGAACCCAATGCATTGTTCATATCAGAAAGAAAATTGCCATAAACTCGCTAGGCGGAGGAGGCAGCGAAGAACTCGTTAGGCGAAGAGGTGGCGAAGCTCTAACGAACACTCCCAGACTTGAGACAGAGGCGAAAGGGCCATAAACTCGCTAGGCGAAAATCACAGCGAAGGCTTCGCTAGGTGAAGGATCGCTCGCTCAATGAACCTTTGGTAAAGTCTCATAGGCAGTTTAACTGTTCAGAGGCACCTCAGGTGCCTAATTTGATGTTCGCTAGGCGAAGGATCTGTTCGCTAGGCGAAGGATATGTTCGCTAGACGAACATGACAGATCCTGAATGTATTATATAAGTATTTTTTTTCTTGCTTTTTAGGTCATAATGTAATATTTTTCTACATCAGAACTTATCTCTCTTCATTTTCAAGTTTATTTTAGAGAGAGAAATACAAAACCCTAAGAGAAATACAACCACTCTATGATCTCAAAGTTTTAATTTGTTCTAGGAATATGGACGCCTTCAATTATCTTGGAGGACCATTTGATAGATCCAACTGTCCCATACAAATGTGCTGACAAAGTGTTATTTAAACCCCTATATTTAGTTTTGTAATACTATGTTGAGTAGACATTAACCTAGTCTAACAAGGGATAAAAGAAAGTGAATATTTATGCATGAAATATATGCACATGACCTACTTTTCTTTTTATAATAATAAATTTTGTTAAACTATAATTTTAGTAAAATTTAAGCAAAGAATAAGAAATTTAAGAAAAAATGAAAATAAACGTGGAGGCCGAAATTACTTTGATTGAAATTAGAAATCCAAAATTACATAATTAAAAAATAAAAGTGTGAAAAAAAAATTAAAACCGAGTATGATCTAAATAAAAGTTTAATTATAATATGACTCGTTAGATCCTGATTCCCTCTATCTTCAAATTATTGACTAATTTTTACAAACATAGATACACATGATTTTTTTAAGCAAAAAGTTATGGATTTATTACTAAATGGAATAGGCATGAGACATGCCAATTACATCAGCAACGCCCAAACATACCAGTAAGAGTTTTAGCACACATAACTCAAGCACTTATACCTTATTACAATGTTTTATTCCGATCACACCTATTACAAACATTCCAAGACAAAATACATTATCTAAGACAAGAAAACCTACAACTTGACAAAAATACATTTCTTAATACACTTTTAAAACGAATCGACAAAGAGAACACCAAGGTTGTGAAGACAAAAAATTATGGGTGGCAAAACGGGACGTGGCCCGCCGGGCCGACTCAAGCACCCGCTAAAAAATGGCGGGTTGGGATTTTGTGTCCGCCTACTCGCTCAACCTGCCCCGCTAAGCTCGCCCCATCTTAAGCCTGCCAAAAAAAGGGGCGGGTTGTCCCGCTAACCTAGTCATTAAGCTCTCAAATCATTTTTTTTGGTTGAAAATTATTATTTGAACTATAGTTTTGGAATACTTATTGATGATTCTATTTTATATATTTATTTATGAATATATGCAATATTTTTTTAAGTGAGTTTTTTTTTTAAAATATGCTTTAATAAAAACTTGTTAGAAAAAATTAGCGACACATCTAATTGAAATGTAAAAATAAGCCTATCAATCTATTACAAAAATAAATAAAAAAATAGGCAGGTAAGCTCGCCACCCGCCAACCCGCCACCTTAGCGGGGTACACTAGATTTTCAAGCCCAATTTCAGTTGGCGGGCTTGCCTGCCCGACTATTTTTTTGGCGGGCTTAAGGCGGGGCGGACGACCCATTTTGCCACCCATACAAAAAATACATCAATGTTCTGCAAAAACTGTACTTGCCACTAAACCCCAACATTGAGCCAATACTGTATCCACCAAACCATAATAGCAGAACTAGCAAAACTACTATATCAATTCTGCTCAGACCAAGATTTCCAACAATCAAGGACAATATTCACGACTAGTATACACATTAATAAGGCTAAAATAAAGATACACATATCCTGACTTTTACTCAAAGACCTCTTCCGCTATCGGAATGATACTGCAACACGAAAACTTATATCTCCTTAAGCAACTACTTCTCCCTACGAGTCTACCTTCCACTAATAACAACTTCATCCTAAGCACTCTTCTGGGTTCAAAATCCATTGATTTAGGGCATAATAAAATCCCCTAACTTTAGTCTTTAACCATCTCCAAGAAATCGCTTGAACGTCATCAGTACTGATTCTTCTACACCACTTCGAGGTTCCGAAAATCTTCCCATTCCTCCTTTTCCAAATGGTCCAGATACTTGCGAACTAGATGACAACAAAAATCTATCCTTTAGAGCTCAGTCTTCTTTGCTAATATTTACATACTGGGCAATATTCTGCACGACATAATTGTGAGAAACATAAAGAAAACCTAGCCATCTTAGGACCTCGCTTCATGCAATCCAAGCTATCAGACATTCAAAGAAAATGTGTGCGACACTTTCCTTTCTACCGCAGCTAAATGAGCATGAATTTTGATAATCAACCAAGATGTCTCTCCTAACTAAGTTGTCTCTAGTAGGAATTTTGTTTTGCCAAACTCTCCACATCAAAATCGAAACTTTCGTGGTGACTAATTTACTCCAAACAGTTGCCAGATGTTATAAACCCCTTCATAATCTCCATAATCAAAGAGTGAGCTTCTTAAACCGTATACACATTCTTGTACCACCTTCATTTGTCCTTAACATTATCCTTAAGTGAAACTCTTTAAATCTTATATATAATTTCCTCCACTCTTATTTCATTTTTCTTTTTTAAATTGCTATCCTAATTACCAATCCAATCTAAACCCCTGCTCTCACTTCTAATCGCATCTCTCATTATAATTTTTTTTATCTCTTGATAATTTGGATATGGATTCTTTAAACTTCTTTATTCCATCTAAGACTCCTCTCAAAATAAAGATTAGTTTCAAACCAATTGTTGATAAATGTAATTCATTTTAATAAATAATCTCTTCAAATGAGTTATACTAATCCATTATTTGTTTCTTTCTATCATAAATAAAATATAAATATATTGAGCAAATTTAAACTCAATGGCATGCCATATTTTCTCACATATAGCCAATATCTTTTTTTTTGGGGGGTTTCTAATTACCAAAATTATTACAAGGTATAAATATAAGGGCAATGTGAGCCCAAAAAATACTCGAGCTCAGAGCAACTAGCGTCAGTCTCCCGCTCCTCCGTGGTTGAACTTCAAAGCTGCTGCTCATTTTCCGCCGACATGAAGCTCGTCAGGTCTCTCTTTCTCTTTCTCTCTCCCTCAACTTCTCATTTCTTACTATCTCTCTTTTTGTGGAAATTTCTTAAACTGAAATCGTTTTCTTGAAAATCGAAACAGGTTTTTGATGAAATTGAACAACGAAACCGTATCAATCGAGCTCAAGAACGGCACAATTGTTCATGGCACCATTACAGGTTCCTACTAACCCTTCCTTATTCCTCTTCACTGTTATTACTTATGAATACTCTTCACGCCGTTAAACCCTAAGTACACTTCATACTCAAACATTCGTTATTTTTCTATTGCTGCATAGAATTTTCTTTGTTGGCGCTATTATTCCCGATGGCAGAGTCGTGAATGTGATATTTTTCGTGTGGTAAATGTAGTGATTTTCTTCCTTCTCCTCCAGATTCCTATAAACCCTAGTGAATTCTTCAAATCTTGACTGTTTTTGTTTGAAGTTAGGGTTCTTGCTTAACTAGTGGTTATAGAATATCCGCAAAACAATAGTTCAGTGCTAAGAGTAAAGATCCATTTTAATCTTTGTAGTTTGTACTTTACTAATTGACATGTTTTGTACTGCAATCAAAGGTCCATGGCGGAGAGCCAAGCCAAAATACCGCCATTCCAGCCGCTTGGCGGCGCTGTTATAGCAGATTATGTCGGAGAAACTTGCAATATAGTCTGATATCTACCACTGCGGTGAGCCCAAAAACCGCCATGTATATGCCGTAGCACCACAATGGCAGATATTTGATAACATTGGGAAAATGTAAACTAAAACATGTGAAGTAGATAGGCCCTTGTGTTTCTCTTTTCCTTATTCAGGCCCTTAGTTATATATCATTTTGTTTGAATAAGTAAATAATGTATAAAGTATACGGGTTTTCTGCACCTTAACTTGCTACCATATGATAAGATTGTATATATAGCTTCTCTTCAACTTCCTGCTAAAGTTTTTTGCTTTGTTTTCTTTTAAATAAAATTTTTCTTTTCTATCGGAATAATGAAAATAATGTTTTGAAGGTGTTTGTTTCCGATTGCATATTTGAAGATGTTTGACTCTTTTATATGTTATGAAGAAGTAACCAGCCTTCTTGCTTTTGAACAATTGGACTGAAGGAGGAGTATGCTTTATAATATTAACATTTATAATTACCACCCTTCATCTCAATTATTTGGAAATGAGAAATTCTATTGGTGTACTAAAGCATGTGCTATGAATTTAAAAAAAAAAAGCATGTGCTAATAAAGTAAAAAAAGAAATTATTGTCCGTCAAGATTAATGAGTTATTGACATTTCTTTTAAAAGGTTTGACACTGTCAATTATTTTCATTTGTAAACTGATTCTCTTATTTTGTTGTGCCTTTTCTATTCTGTTGTACTGTAATCATATTGTTGAATATCGGTCATGGTGGATTGTGGTGGTGGGATTTAAACAAACTGCCATTGAAAAGCGGTTGTGTGGCGGTTTACGTATAGAGGGGTCATGGCGGACGCCATGAAGATAACGGACATGACAGAAAAAGTGTATCTTTTTTTTGCCATAAAAATGGATTGGGTTGTGTGATCTGACCCAAGCACAGACCCAAAGTGGGTTATAATTCTAATAAACCATAAAAATGGATATTTTGCCATTTTATACCCTCTAATCTCTCTACTCTACCCTGTTCTTTTCCTCTACTGGTGTCCGACCACAACTACCACCACCCAATTACGTGCAACCGCCACTAAATTCTCTGTTTTCTCCTCTCTGCTGAAATGCACAGCCAGCTCTCTTCTTTCTTTTCTCGGTTTCTATTTTTTGTATTTTGAAAAGTATTCCATTTCTTCTTCTTTTTTTCCCTCTTATATTTATTCTTTATTTTCCTTTTATTTTCGTTCTCTGATTGTTTCCCCTCTTTCATTCTTTTTTTGCTCTATTTAAACTTCTTTTTCTGTTTTTAAATTATCTCAAATCTGTCTTTAATCATTAATAGACATTAGTTGCCCAGTTTTAAAGTTATCTTAATTTGGTTTTAATTCTGTTCTTTAATTGGTTTTTTATTTATATCTGCCATTTTTGTGTGTATATATGTTTATGTCTGCCTTGCTTCCACCATTTGCCATCCGCATATGTTTATGGAAGATTTGTGGCTTGCCGCCATAAATCGCCATTGACATCACTGACTGTAATGTAAAGATCCCCATATCAGCCTATGCTTTTGCCAAAGAGAAATGCTATATACTCTTTCTTAAGCAATCTCACGAATTGCAAGAAAACGTGTTGTTGTTTTAATGATGCAGCTTGTAGTTCTGCTTTGACTACAATCATGCGTAGAAATTATCAAAACGACCTAATCAAATCATTGTTATGTTTTTGTTTGAGATTTTGGTTTCAGCAATTTCCTTTTACCTAATTTAAGCCAATTTTTCAGAAGCACAAATCTCATCCATAGCTTCTGATTAAACTTCACTAAGCCTGTACTGGGGAATTTTCTATTCAACACACCTGGGTTTAGTTTTACTTTGTTAGATAGGAAGTTTACAAGTTATATGTTACATATGTTATCTTATCCCGACTTGTGCTAACATTTGGGATGTTTGAGGTTAGGTGTAACCATTATCTTTTATAGATGCATATAAGAATTGAGTCCTGTATTATGATTTGCATGTCATACTGACATAATATTAGTCAAGCACCAAATATTTTCCTCAACACTTATTTGTAAAAACATGTTGGCAGATATTGCAATGTTTCTAAATAAATAAATAGCTTGCTACTTATTGTTTTTAGGTTGAGAGCATCAGTGTTCCGAAGCTTTAGTCATGCTGTTCCTGACATGTTGCTATGCTACAGGTGTTGATATTAGTATGAACACACATTTGAAAACAGTTAAACTAACACTGAAGGGGAAAAACCCAGTGACTCTGGATCACCTCAGTGTGAGGGGTAACAACATTCGCTATTATATCCTTCCCGACAGCTTGAATCTTGAGACTCTGCTGGTTGAAGAGGCACCTAGGGTCAAGCCTAAGAAGCCAACTGCTGGTATTTTACATTATATGTTTGGCTGCAATTTTTATTCTGGTTGGCTTCTATCTGGTTGTTTTTGGTTTTCAACGTTTAAATTTTATTTACAGGGAAGCCTTTGGGGCGTGGACGCGGTCGAGGGCGTGGACGCGGTCGTGGCCGTGGTCGTTAAATTGCAATTTTTGCGCCATATGGTTATATTGTAGGAAGTATTTCTGAGTGGTCTTGTGGACATCAAAAGAGTTCTTACGGATTAGTTTTGTTGGCTTTGGCCAATTGTCATATTTTGAACAAGTACTTTCAAGTTCTTATGTATAATTCTTTCCCTTTCAACTGATTGATATTTTGTTGACTTCTAAAAGACACCTAACACCACTCAAAGTCTTAACAAAAATCTTCAAAAATGGTGCTCTCATGTCTTTTTCAGTAGACATCCCTTGAAGTTATGGTTCCTCTCCAGTTTTTCAATAGTTAGAACAGTTTTATTTATTTATTATAATAACTAATGTTTCTGATAAATGGTGTATGAGGTGTCGGGGTATTTGTTGTCTTGATAGACTGTTCTTATAATCAATTAGGCTGGGATTTGTATGATAAAAATTAGGGCTAAAATATTGACATACATGCTTTTGCTACGTCTAGATATTCCGGAGGTTTGTGTCTGAATGACCAAAAAATTTTAGAATTTTGTATTTCATTGGTAATATGTTTGAAAATATACATCTCTAAAAAATGAACTTCTAGTGGAAAAGTAAACTAAGTATGGTAGCAAAAATCTATCACCAGTTGGCCCCATTTTTGTATTTTTTTTGTGGCATAACAGAGGATCCAAATTCGATTGTCACTCAATAAGTGTAGCAGCAATTTACTTTCAACCTCTTTATTCACTAATATTACTTTCATTATTATAAAAGTCATGGTTGTCTCAATTTGTTATTAAAATATAGAGTGCTAACTTCTAAGAATGGTTTAACAATAGAAAGTATTCAGAGAGAAAAAGGTTGAGCGAGTTGATAAGAGTAATTGATGTTTTGAAGTCACAAAAAAGAAGATAATAATTGATATTAGTTGTTACCTTCTTTGATGGTAATGGTAAGTGGTAGTTGTGTTAATATAATACCACTCTTATCACTCAAATTTTTATGCCAGTTGGATTGGATTGACAGTGACAATTGAGGTTTAACACCCCTGGTTTGATATATTTATTTTTTACTAATACTACTTTTTTAAATCTTTTTTTCAAATGTCCTACTCCTAACTTCTAAGTATACTTTATCAGTAGTATTTTTTTTCTTCTTAAAATAAAAAGGAAATCGTATTAAACAAACTTTAATTCAGACTGTTTGGTGCAAGTCTTATTATATTTGAATGATTAGAGCTAGATTATGTTTGAAACGCTGGTTTTACTCCCTTGAAATTAAGTTGAGAAGAACAAGATAATTTTTTTTGGATAGTAAGATAACATGGGCAAAAAAAAGAAACAACGAGCACGCTGGTTGACATGGTCATCGGCGAATTTGAATCCTCTTTGTTCATAAATCTTTCGGTCACTGAAGGGAGTGTCTTTTAAAGGTCCTTTTTGTCATTGTACTATCCATATGTGCAATAACTATATTCATTGTCTCACTGACAATTCACGAGCATTTGTTTGCTCCATATTCAATGGCTGTCTGCCTCCCTGCCTGTACTTGTCATTCTAGAAGCCGCCACATTATGCAACCGTATTTAGGTTTGGTAGACTCATAGACAATCTTTTGTAAGTTTGTGCCATTTATGGAATTCGACACAATATTCTTATAAGAATACTGTCATTTCCTTTAAGTTTTACATATTTTTAACACAACAAATTTAGTTTCATTCATAAAATATATTCTATCTGTCTCATAAAAATAACAAGAAAATAAATAATAAGTTGCGTCGTTATTTTTTTTGAATGATAAAATAAATTCTCTTAAAATTATATTTATTGTCCTACGAGACACAACACACTAAAAGTGTTAAAGACACAACACACTAAAAGTGTTAAAGACAAATGGTATGAAAGTATGTAGATTGTTGGAACACACTTTCTTATGTTTGACCACTTTAATTAAAATGACTTTGAGGTCTGCCCGAGTAAAACATCTGATCCTCAATCTCACTAGTGGAAAAATTCTAATTAAGTTTGCACATGTATGTTCCTACGAAGGATGAGAGTAGACCATGTTGGTTGAAAATAGAGGAATGCAACAGTCTATCAGGGTGTGAATATCCCTCCAAAGTAAAATTGTCCAATTTGAAAAATAGTTTTGAAGAGTTTAAAAACAAAAATGACTAGCGTGGCGAAAACAAATTGCGTATAAAACTGATTATGCTTATTAGACGATATATACACAGTGCTGCAGTTGATATTTGTCTTGTTGGAGTTTGTTTGATGTCTTGCATTGCTTACGTTCCCAGACTGTTGGTTGTATAAATATGTGAGGGCAACTTCACCCTTTGAGCAAGCATTTGGGTTTGAAATCCTATCATATTTAATATGGTATCAGAGTTGGATTAAAGATTGCAAAAGGAACATTTGTCTCGCGCTAGGCATGAGGATGGATGTTGAAGTTGGTATTTGTGTTGTTAGAGTTTGTTTGAAGTCCTGCATTATTTAGGTTACTGAGTTGTTGATTGTATAAATATGTGAAGGCAACCTCATCCTTTGAGCTAACTTTTAGAATTGAGATCAAGTTATATTTAACACACATAACAAATTAATCGATACACACTATGACAATATATTGAATCAAATAGCTGGCCAAAATAAATCAAGCAATGTATTAAGTTAATATTAACTTTACACAAATAGTGTAAACGTGCAAAATCAATACAATGGAAAATTCTATGATCATAGTTTTTAATCTCAATCAGCAACAATATACTTCAAAGTACCGTTTCTAACAAAACCTACAATGCTTTATTTGTTTTGGCCAACTTTTTGACTCAATCTACTGTCATATTGTGTGTCGATTAAGTTGATAAATCACTACCAAGGAAAAAACCTATCAGTATACGATCTTAGAAAAGCGGTAAAAGCAACCTAAACACGCAGTTCTATGAAATTATATATATATATATATATATATATATATATATATATATATATATATATATATATATATATATATATATATATATATATATATATATATACATGTATATATACACATACTATAAGAATGTCATTTTTATGTGAAAACATGAGAATGAATTTGAACCATTAGCTTTTAAAATAAATGGTGAAGATTATGTGGGGTTTTTGTTTTTCTCTCTTCTCCAGTATTAAAATAAATGATGGAGGAGAGAGAGAAAAACTAACACATAATCTCCACCATTTATTTTAAAATCTAATGGTTCAGATTCATTCTCATGTTCTCACATGAAAATATAAAAGTCTTCTATCTGGATCCCCTTAACTTGTACACAATATCAATATTGAATCCTTGCAAAATCTTTACTCAAAATCGACTTAAATCTTCCAACCCCAACAATTCTTCTCCAAAGTCTCCATTGTGTTACGATCTTTCCTCGATTCTACTAATATGTTGAGCGTTATTCTACCTGAAGTTTGAGAAGAAATCTCACTTTGTCCGTAGGGTTCCACATTTAACTTTCAAAGTAACTATAGAGAGAATAACCTCATTCTTTTTTGCTAGACTTGTCAAAATAAACCACAACACCACACACCTTACAAACCACTGAAATCTTAAGAAAATCTTTAAAGAATCGTTAAACTTAATAACAAAATCTCCTGGAAAATCACAAATCTCCAGAGATAAGATTTAGATCCATACGAAAATAAAGTTAGAATGACGTACAAGATGAAATATATCGTTTGCAATTACTCAAGAAAGATTCAAAAATCCTTTTGAAAATGAGAAAACAAGTGAGTTACAAGTTTTCAAATCAATAAGTAAAAATGTTTTATATGTTCTGAAGATCTAACACAAAAATGAGTGAAAATGGTGTATGGTTCGAGTCATAAGCAAGAGGTATGATTCAAGTAAGAAAATTAAGTGACTTGAATCAAGAAGAAAAAACATGAGAACTCAATTATGTGATTCGAGTCACACAATATATGATTTGAATCACATGATTTAAGTAATGAGGGTTGGTGATTCGAAGCAGAGTTTCAAAAGGAAAATAAGAAAGTTTCAGTTCAATGTGATTCAAATAAGACAATTTTGTGATTCAAATCAAAGTGTTGCGATTGAATCATGAAACATGTGATTCAAATCATGAAAACATGAAAAAGGTCCCCGAGTTCCCTATAATCCTGATTCAAGTCACATGAAAATGCGATTTAAATCAAACTACCAAAATCTAATTTTTGCAAAATTTTAAGTGATTTTTGAGATTAAAATATTGTCATGACTTGAACCATTCTCAAATATAGTTTTAGATCCAAAAAATCAATATATTAACTTGAAGCATATTGCTTAAACTATAACAAAACACTTTGATTTATGCATGCCCAAAATGGATTTAAAAATCAATCCTGAGATGCACAATTAGTGAGGAGACTCAATAACTATATAAACAAAATCAAAAGCTTAAAAGACACGTAATCAAAACATTTAACCCATGAGACAAAGACATGTAACATGCAATTTCATGTCAGGCTAGCCTACAGAGGCCTATATCCTAGACTATTTAAGCATGACCTGACTAGATCTGTTTAATAAAAAGGCTAGACTTAGGCTTTTTTAAAATCCCATTTAATTAAATAGGTGATGTTTAAGCTATTAAGAATTCTATGAAGCTTTATAAAATAGACTAAATGCTATATAAAAGGCTTTGTTGTCTGTGTAAAAAATGAGTAAAATGGACTATTTTAAAACCTTAATGTGAGAAAAGAATTTAAATAGGGTTTTAGGCTAGAATGGACTTTTAAAAAGGCCAAGTAAGGCAAAAAAAAAAGCTTATAATATGTCATAGGCCAAACTCGAGCTTAAAAATTTATCGTAGGTCAGCTCAAGCATTCTAATGCCTGGTCTAGCCTGACCAATTCCCACTTATACCTCATACCCACACGTACACCAGAACATCTATTAGAATATGTATCAATATCTCTTCTTGTGGACCAATCAAGAAATTCATAGGCACCTATTTTTCACAAATACCCCGACATACCGAAATATATCAAAC